AACATCCCCTAAGATATAAGGTAACCTTGCATTTTACATATGGAATGGATCCATACACTCATCCTGTTGCAGTGGATCCCAAGGTGGTCTTATTTTTCTTTACCACAGCACCTTAGCGAAGGAACCACACCGTCCATCACGTTGGAGTGTATTCGTCTTGGGACACAGTGTTGCAATCGTCAACCACCGACAACTCAAGCCCATGCCGAAATCGTCAACCACTAACAACTCAAGCCCATGTCTAAATCCTCAAAAAGGCTAGGACATTTTGTTTCGATTTTTTGACATAGACTTCGATGGTTCAAGGCCTTGACCTCCATGACCGAAACTGAGATGTCTATGCCAATGCCTAAGGGATGCTTGTTTGTTTTATTAACTAACAAAAATTAGATGCCAAGAAAGAGAAATTAAGCATGTTTTCTCATAAAATGGTGTCCCTTATAGGAACATCTCTGTTATTTGAGGTTTTTGCTGGAGGAGGCTCAGGAACTTAGTGAGATGCAATTGCTGGTTTTAATATGGGAGGCTTTACTTGAGTCCTCTGATACCACTCCTGTTGTGGTTGAATGGGCCATGTATGAGCTCGCCAAGAACCACGGATGCCAGGTAGTAGATTCTTTCTCTTTCACCTACGATTAAAAATTTTGCGTCCAACAATTAAGATAAGAGGGACCGAGTGTGTGACATTGTTGGGTGGTGATTTTGGTGCAGGAGAGTCTATACGAAGAGATAAAGAGTGTATGTGGGGATGAGAAGGTGACTGAAGAAAATCTACCACACATGCCTTACCTCAATGCTGTGTTTCATGAGACACTCAGAAAACATTCTCCAGTCCCCATTATGCCCCTCAAATATGCTCATAAAGACACTGAGATTGGGGGCTATCACATCCACAAAGGGTCTCAGGTTGGTCGGATGTTCATATCTGCGCCTTTCCAAATATTATATGAGCAGGCTTTACATACCAAAACAAAATGTGCACTATATCTTAAACTCACCATCAAGCATTATAAGTGCCCTGCCAACGGAAAAGGAAAGCTAAAGCGATTGTTAGCTTCAATAAACAACATAGATACTTCAATTTATGGCATTTTACAACATACTCATGTTTTACACATGATGATTGATCCCCCAATGTTTAAAATGTTAAATCCTTCTCAGTCTCATGCCTATTCTGCCTTCGTAATGTAATTTCAAGATATCTAGAGTTAAACTGGCATCCTCTGTTTCTTTCAGAGTCGATGGTTGATATCCACTTTCAATAATACTTCATATACAGTGAAATCATGAAAACCCTCATTGTTTGTATTTATTTGGCATGGGAACTACTACAGATTGCCATCAACATTTATGGAGCTCATAGAGATGAGAAGGAGTGGGAGGATCCAGAGGTGTGGAAGCCAGAGAGGTTCCTGACTGGCAAGCATCAGTTGCAAGACATGCACAAGACATTAGCTTTTGGTCTTGGCAGGAGAGCTTGCGCTGGTTCAATGCAAGCCATGAACATTTCATGCACTGCGGTGGCTAGGATGGCACAAGAGTTCAAATGGACACTCAAAGAAGGCCAAGGCGATGATGATGACACTGTCCTCTTCACCACTCATAAGCTCCAACCCCTTGAAGCATACATTACGCCAAGATCTACCCTTTAAAATTAAAAAACCTATTGTTTAGGTACCTTGTATGAAGCCAGGGCAAATTTTACAACTACTAATTGTCATCAAGAGCTTCAACAGATCCTGGAATAAGAAATCCACGGGCCTTTTATTTATTTCTAGTTTAAAGTGCAAATAAGTAGATATTAGTTGGTCATGATAAGAGTGTAAAATTACATAAGCATCTTATAATTTTCTAGGTTATTAGCAAATGTATTGAATATGTCAGAGTATGTATTTGTAGAAATAAGAAGTAGCTTCTAATGCTCATTAATGTTTTCTAAATTCGGATAATCTTTGTTTTTTACCCATGGAAGCAACACTCCAAGAAAGATTGTCAACCACGAAATAAATCATTTCGACAGAAAAAGTAGGAAATGAAAGCTTAATATTGAGATCATTAGTCATAAAAGTTACAGTTGCAGAATAGTCTATGAATATTCAAGTTTATATGCAAGGGATGAAATATGACTCAAAACTGCATTTTCTTATGAAGTAAAATAAATTTTCCTTGAGTTAATCCTGCTGCCAATGATGATAAAATTTCCAGTCTTTTGTTCTAGCTGTAGCATTAAAACTGCCAATTGTCTTCTGTTTAAATTCTAGCTTTAGCATTAACAAGTTGTATGAGTTGATGTTCATAGCATTTACTCAGATGAGTCCTTTTATATTTGTGAGCTTCATCTATAGATTAGTACCCCAAGCAATATTCTGTGTTGTTGTTTCCTTCATAATCTCCTTTAAATAGATTTCCAGTCGCATTCTTTGAGGTTTAGTTTCAATATCGATTTCCTATCATGGTTCAAGTTCCTTGACAATGTTCTCCTCATGATTTCCTCTGATAAAATTTTCTTTATCACTCTAGAGAACAATTTTATCCTCTTTGTGATGCTCTATATTTCTTTCTCATGGTGCCTTTGGATCCATAGATCATGTTATACTAGCTTGCAAAATCAGTATGTGAACTAGGGTAGGAAAAAATTTTGGGTTCAAAACTCGCATACTTTGTTCCCGATGATAGACAAACAAATCGTTAGTTCTCCGTGAGATTTCAAAAACAATTCAATAGTAATTAAGCATGAGTTTCCAATCATCTTTATAATAGATCTATATGATTTTATTAATCGAAAGGCTTCTTAATCATACTTCAATTATAATTCAAAAAATTTGTGGTCCTATTAGCCCCTCTTATTCACATGGAAAATCTTCCTAAACCATGTGTATTTTCTCTTTCTTTCACAAAGGAAAAAAGTATGTAACATATCCCTTTGCTCTGGGGAAAAA